ATAATAAAAGGAAGGCATATCATTTACCTGCTGAGAGGAATAGTGCCTCTGTCCCATAGCATTTCCCATTGGAAACATATTTGCTGGCGCATAGGACCATCTTCTAGTGTTGTTGTTGTTGCTGCTGCTGCTGCCAGTGTTGCCACCTGCATTAGCAGAGGCCACCACATGCAAAAGTTCACTGCTGCTCCTGTGGTCTCCACCACTACCACGCCCATGATGGCCATGCTGTCCAGCATGGACCACCTTACTGGCACCCCCAGACACAGGGTGAAAGGAGAGTATGTGCAGTACTACACCCACTTACCGCGGTACTTGTCCAGGGAAAGAACCGAAGGCGGTGTAGGCGAGGTCCCTGCTTCAACCAGGAGATAATAATAATAATAATAATAATAATAATAATAATACTCTTCTACTGTGTAACAACTACAATAACAACGACCACGACGGAAACGGAAGGAAGAGGTTGAACGTTTTGACAAGGGACTACGAGACCTTCAACGCAGAGCTCCTCTAGATCGGGGACTGCTTGTTGTTGATCATGATGTCATTGTTGTTGTTGTTGTTGGAGCTGGTGCTGTGGGATGACGTGGCTGTGGTGGATGGCGAGTCGGGTGCGAGGAGTTTGTTGGCAGGGATCTTGTTGTTGTTGACTTTGTGTTTGCTGCTCATCATCAAGTTGTCCGAGGACTGGTCCACCACCACGACGTTAACCAACACGTACCCGTAGTGCCCGTGCTTTGCTCCCAGGGACCTTTAGTAGGCAAAGGGCAGACGACCTCTGGCACTCAGGGTGAGGAATAGACGTTAGCCTTTTATTTTATTAATTAATCAATCAATCAATCAATTGATTGATCATCCATAGGTAAAAAATATCATCATGAGGGATTTTTTTAACAATAATGAATTTTTAAATATTCTAACATTGTTTCCTCCCAAAATTTCCTTTAACATCTTTAAAAACATTTGAATACAACGAATTTTTCATCATAAAATATTTACAACGAAATTTTTTTGCACCGAATTGTTCAATAATAAAAAAACATAATTTTCATTGCAAGACATTTTTCATCAGAGCAAAATTTTCATGATAATGTATTATTTATATTTTTAAAAACGTATTCATTTTAAGTACATTTGCATTATAAGGAAGTGTCCTTTATAATGGATTTTTTATTATAGCAAATGTTATAAGGGTTGAAACCGGAATACCATTTCAGTGCTTGACTGAAAATTCCGTGAAACAGTGCTTAAAATTTTTGTGCAGTACATTCTTTTCCAGCAAATCGAATACAGAACAGATAAGGATTTCGGTGATTTTGCCATAGTTTACATTGCAATTACTGTACATAATTTTCTCTGCGATGAAAACATACTATTAATGCATCAAAAAAGGGAAACAAATTTACAGTAACTCGGAAGAAAATACCATAATGGATTTTAAAAAAAAAAGAAGGAAGAACTCGGAAGAAAATACCATAATGGATTTAAAAAAAAAGAAGGACCTGTTACTATTATTGGGAGAACATTTTATTTCCATTAAAGAAACCTCGTCACTTGGAAAGTAATAAATTTTGTTACTTTGCTAGGAAATTTATTTTTATTGAAATTGTTGGATTTGTTACTGTATAAAAAAAAATAGCATCAAATTTCTAAAAATTCCATCATTTTAATTTCCCAGTTTTTCGTCGCTCAGGTCCGTTGCAAGAAAATTATTCTGAGTTATTACGAGAGGCTAAGAAAATAATAATAATACGGTGATGTAAAACTGTAATCAATCGCAAACAGGCTATGTTTGGAACAGTATATTTTTTTTTATAAGGCAGAGGTTCTCGATCTGAGCTCTGTGAACGTCTCGTTCAAGAAAAAACACAGTAACCAACCATAAAATCAAAATTGAATCAAGATGAAAGATACTATGAGCTACAATTTTTTTTATAAAATAACTTGAATAATTATTTCTCCTCCCAAATAAATACTTTATAATCAGAGACGAAGAAATCAATCCTGTTCCACAAATTTACAGTACTTAGAAGGGATCATAATTCCACATGCACAAAAATAAAATAAAATAAAAAGGCGACATTGACCAGAAACGCTGGACTCTTCCTCCTCGTCCCGCTGGCCAAAGTCACGAAGTCGCAAGAGAGACTTGTTCCGTCGCACGTCGGTGGTCCTATTATTAGTCGGCATCGCCGTCGCCGCCGCCGTCGTCGTCGTCACCGCCGCCACATGCTGCTGCTGCTGCTGATGACTATGCGGATGTCCGCCGTGGCTCGTCTTGTTAGTAGTATGATGACCTCCAATATCCGCCGGCGCGATGGACAGTTGGCCGCTATTGCCATTTCCGCCGCCGCCGCCGCCGTGCGAAGTCGGCGACGGTCTTTCCGGCGTCGCCAGCGGAGAAGAGTCGGCCGCGTCGTCGGATCCGATCCCTGAAGAGTCCTGCTCCAGGGCCGACGAGTGGGTTCGGGACAGCATCAGGTCCTGGTGATCCGTGGGCGGCACTGTGCGAGACGGCGACCGAAACGCCCCGTTCACGCCGACCACCTGCAGGGCGGTGAAGCATCATCATCGTCATCGTCATCATTTTCATCATCGGAGGAAGAAAAAACAAATTAAAGTTGAACCTCGATAACTGGAACCTTCTCAATTGAGTCAAATACTGTACTGTGAGACCCCGCGGACAAGCGTGCGCCCCGAAATACGAACGATTCGACTTACGGACGCTAAACATTTGACAAAAATCTGACTCGACATCCGGAAAATAGCTCGAGATAAGCACACTTTACTGATACTGTATTTTCCAGAAAATTGAAAGAAAATTTTCATTTTTTTTTCAATTTTGATGAATGGGATCCCGAGATGCGGACATGATTGGTGCATCAAGAGGGTCTTTAAGTTGAAATGTCCCTAAGTTGAGTCTAATTTTCCCTTAAACTTTTGTTATATAATTTCAATCGGTGTTTCATGGAAAAAATACTCACCATAATTCCATGAAAATAGAAATTGTCTCTCAATTGAAACTGATTTAAATCAATATATTTCAACACAATATGGACATTTGGGGAATTGAATACTGATGCCTCTGTATAGAGTACATAGAAATGTTGGCATTCTCTGTAAAAATAACATTCAAGTGATAAAGAGAGAAGGAAGTCACTCTTATGCTGGAGATAATTTTTTAAATTAGCTAAATGGATGGTAAATTGGTGAGAGAAATGCCCAAAAACTTTGTCCCTTACATCAATTTTTGGGTTGGAAATATCTCTTTCTTGTAATTTGGTCTGAAATGTATTAGCAATTTTATCACAAAATGTCCCTATGTTGAGTCAGTGTCCTCACGTTGGGCCTTTCTCATTAATTTTTTATGGGAAAATAAGTATCCCTATGTCAAATTGTCCACATGTTGAGGTATCTGGATGTGGGGGTCTCACTGTAATTGGTGCATCAACCAAGAAACAGATATTTTCATCCCTAAAATTGATGTAAGAAAAGTTATTGGGCATTTCTCTCACCAATTGACCATCCATTTAGCTAATTAAAAAATTAATTCCAGCATAGAGGGACTTCCTTCTTTCTTTTTCACTTGAATGTTATTTTTTACAGAGAATGCCAACATTTCTGAGTACTCTACAGCAGAGGTATCAAAATTCAATTCCCCAGATGTTCCTATATTGGGTTGAAATACATTGATTGGAATCAGTTTCAATTAGGAGACAATTTTTATTTTCATGGAATTATGGTGAGTATTTTGTACATAAAACACCAATTAAGATCTATATAATGTAAGTCTAAGGGAAAATGAGACTCGACTTAGGGACATTTTGACTTGGAGACACTCTTGATGTAAATCAGTTTCAATTGAGAGACAATTTCTATTTTCATGGAATTATGGTGAGTATTTTGTACATAAAACACCAATTAAGATCTATATAATGTAAGTCTAAGGGAAAATGAGACTCGACTTAGGGACATTTTGACTTGGAGACACTCTTGATGCACCAATTAAATCCGCATCTTGGGGGTCTCACTGTATATTGAAGGATGAATTCAAATTTAAATACTCCAAATGTTGCTTCAAACTTCAAAAATTCTACAAGGCTATGCTTGTGATTCAATAAATTTCACCGGATTTTAAATTTTTCCTTCACAAGGGTACATTTTGAAACCTCAAAAATGCTCTATTTTGGCCCGCGAAGACTATATCCACCTCTGCCATATCGCCCTTGATGGCCACAAAGAAGAAAAAAAAGTATAAAAGTGGCGCCCTCGCGCTGGCCAGAGCATGCATGCAGCGTTGGGCAACACTTGCACGCTGAATATAGATGGAAGAAAGGACGCCAATAATGTGCTCATACCTGCAAGTTGCGCGAGGCACGTTCTTCGATTCCGTCCAGTTTCCCACAGCTCCGCAAAACGGTGTTGTAATCCCTGGGAGGGAACAAAAGCGGCGCCGGCACTCCACCCACTCCACCTCCGCCGCCGCCGCCGCCCCCAACTCCGCCATTACTACCACCACCACCACCGCCGCCGTCGTGGTCTCGATCACGTTTCCATCGTCCTCGTCGCCCGGCTCCAAGCTTCTCCCTGCAAAAAAAGAAGAAGAAAAACAGATACTGTATCAGGACCCGAAGAGTTTATTTTCTGTTGTGTCGTGTCTTGATCCGAGGTCAATTTACTGTTGATGAAACATTTATGTGAAGTCTAACTAGATGTCACTCGCAGTAACGTGAAGTTGAATTTTTTTTTAAATGATGATGCTTATGCAGTAAAACCTCTGGAAGTCCAACTTGAATGGGAATTACAGTGAGACCCCCAGATGAGGATGTAATTCATGTATCAAGATTGTCCCTAAGTTAAAATGTCCTTAAGTTGAGTCTCATTTTGCTTGAACTTTCATAAAATAATTTTTAATTGGTGTTTTATGGAAGAAATACTCTTCATAATTCCATGAAAATAAAAATTGTCTCCCAATTTAAACTGATTCAATCAATATACTTCAACACAATATGGACATTTGGGGAATNCCAATTTAAACTGATTCAATCAATATATTTCAACACAATATGGACATTTGGGGAATTGAATACTGATATCTCTGTACAGTACATAGAAATGTTGGCATTCTTTGTAAAAATAACGCGCAAATGAAAAAGAGAGAAGGAAGTCCCTCTATGCTGGAATTAATTTTTTAATTAGCTAAATGGATGGTAAATTGATGAGTGAAATGCCCAAGAACTTCTCTTACATCAATTTCAGGGTTGGAAATATCTGCTTCTTGTAATTTTGCCTGAAACGTATCTGCAATTTCATCACACAATGTCCATATGTTGAGTCAGTGTCCGCATGCTTGGGCCTTTTTATTAATTTTTAATCTGAAAATAAGTGTCAAATTGTCTGCATGTCAAGGTGTCTGCATGTGGGGGTTTCACTGTATAGCAAACAAAAATTCAAGTTAAGGAGGTTTTGAGTTATGGAAACAAACATTTTTGTTGAGAGAAAAAGAAAGAAGAATTACAGGAAATTGTAATTGGGGATGTTTTGAGCCTTATATCTTGCTTCTTACATGATTTGACAGGATGTTGAAGCTGAAGGCAGCAAGGGGTTCATTATTTACCCAACTAGTCTTTCATATACTGTACTTCCTTCAAAACACACATAGTTATGATTGTTATTTCTTTTCTTTTTCCTGTGTCAATTAAATCCTGTAATAGTAAAAAAAAAACCTTTAGAAAAAATCAAGCTTTGGAAAAAAATGATGTTTTTCTTCTTCTCTTTTTTAAAAGATGTAGAAATATCTCTTGTTTGCTGCACACCAGACATGAAGGCTTTCACTCCCAGTCCCCTATAAGCAAGATAAATTACTTTTATTGGCTGTTATTCTGTATAATTGGAACACAGTCACTTCCTGGTCTATTATCTGCTGGACAGAGCTTAGGTTTCCGATTTTATTACAATATCGAGGTCGTTAATGTCCTAATTCATTTCATGATAATCCAAACCGAGACGCAATTGATTGAAAGGCGCATTTCGAAATTTTTTTTGGCTATAAAAGGAAAGTAAATTCTCCTCATCGTGAATAAAAATGAAAATAAAATCGTCGCGTTTCAGGTTAATCATGAATAATTTGTAATTTTGAATTTCATTCCATTATTTCGGAATCGGGGCGGTTCCCGTTTATTCCGTTACTAATGTGGATTAATTTCTTTAAAAGTTTCCATTGAATAAATTGAGCTAGAATACAGTTTCTTTTGATCGGGAATAATTTAAAGAATTGTTTCGTTTATAAAGTATGAGCTCAAAAATTATTAGGTGATTAATTTTGAAAAATATTGCGGTGTTTGAATACTGATTCAATCCTGTATTTCATTCAACTTTCAATATTTACACCCGGTTTTTTTAGCCTTTTTTTTTACAAAAAAAATTGCAGCTTGAATTTAGAGTTAAATTTAAACTAAATGGAATTAATATTCCTCTTATTATTTAGATTATCATCTGTCATATTTCAATAGTCGTTTAATTGTTTTCAATGATTTCAGCTCTCGAAACTTTGCAGGTGATTCCAAATAATTTATAAAAATAATGTGTAACTAAATTTCTAAAATCGTTTTTGAAAAATTTTCCCTGCCCATCACGGATGCTCTTCTTTTTTATTTCTTCTATTGAAAAAAAAAGAAGACACTTGTGGTACTCAAGTACCGTATTCACGCAAGCACCAGTACCACACGCACCTCTTTTCGAAATTCAGTGGAGAGAAGAGGACACAGGTCACAGTTGGGTTTAATGTCCTGAAAATGTTTAAAGCTTTGATGCGGGTCACACTTGCTTCCAACAAAGAATTTTTCACCAACTTCAAGAGGTAATTTATACAAAAAGGAAATAATAAAAAATTAGCGCTCAATTATATGACAAAAATTCAAATCCTAATTTTGATGCGTGTTGCATTCAAACTTTGATAAACCTCCACCATGTGTTTGTGAGGTTTGTGGCCAAAAAATTATGAAAATCAAGCAGAATACGAAATTAAAATGATCATTCTTCTGGAAAACAATCAAAATAACTCTGAAACGTGTAAATTGTATCTAACTGAAATTCCCAAGAAGTAAATTCTGTCATACTTGTGTTTGTGTGTTTTTCTCTTTTTTATTGGAGAAACCCCTTACAGAAACTTTAATCTTGTTGAAGAACAAAATTAATTGGCAAGAGCATATTTTATTTGACAATAATTTTGGCAGATGTTGTTCTCATGGGGTTTCCCAATGTTATTATCGTTAAGGGAGATTTTGTTTTTCAAAATAAAATATGGCAGTTGCCAAGGGTGGCAGCTTATCAAGGGGAATCTTGAAGGGATTTGTCTGTACTATTCGGGACAGATGTCACTGCAATATAAGTTGATGTTGAGTGTTGCAATAAAACACAACGATCAGTCCAGGACAGGACTGGGAATTTTTTGTAGGAATTCCCAAGTTAACAGGATAAATGCATTTCAAGGTGAATTGATAAACAACTCAGCAAACTCTTCTCACAGCGCTAGGATAAGTTGGTTAAATGAAATAACTCAAATCAACTACTGATGATCTAATCTTACATGAGCTGCTTATTTACTAAGAGATATACAGTATTTAACCTTCATTGGTTTCTACAGAAAAAACCTTTAATAGGTAAGGAATTCTAGAGTTAAAGATGCTATGGTGCCAGGAAGTTTCTGGCACTGCAATTTTGAAGAGGGGGAAATTATTTTGAAGAATTTATATTAAAGTGAGACCCCCACATGCAGACACCTTGACATGAGGAAAATTTGACATAGGGAGATTTATTTTTCAATAAAAAGGGCATAAAAAAGGCCTGAGAAATGGACAACTGACTTGACATATGAGGACATTGCATGATAAACTTGCCAACAAATTTCACAAAAATTGACTTTTATTTGGCTTGATTGCAAGAAACAGATATTTCCAACCCTAATATGTGTGCAAGAAAAATTCTTCGTCATTTCTCCCATCATTTTCCCATCCATTCAGCTAATTAAAAAAATTACCTATTGCATAGAGGGACTTCTTTTTCTCTTTGACATGAATATTATTTTTGTTGATGCCAACATTTCAATGTACAGTACAGAGATACACTATTCAATGCTCCAAATGTCCTTATTGAATTGAAAATATATTCACTGAATAAAATTCAAGTGGCAAACAATTTTTTTCATGGAATTCTGAAGAATATTTCTTCCATAGAACACCCATTAAAAATTATATAATGGAAGTCTATGGGAAAACAAGACTTGACTTAGGGACAATTCAACTTATGGACACTCTTGATGCACCAATCATGTCCGCATTCTCACTGTATATTTGATTATTAATGCTCGGCGTGCTTGCCCAACATGTACTGTACTGCACATTGTTGTACAGTACTGTACTGTATTGTCACCATATACTGTATTTCAATTATCAGTAGGTGAAAATGGGTTGCATGTCTTCCTCAGGGATTCCATAAATTTCAAGCTGAAAAATTCACGTTTACGCGCCTCACTCGAAGGAATTTTTGTAAGCACGGTTATTTTCTGAAGATCATCATTACTCAATCTTCAAATTAGAGAAAAAAATAAAATAAAACTAAAAGCACGTCAAATTTCCCACCTGAGTTCAGCGGCCAGGCTGTCGTAGAGACTGGAGATCTGGTCCCGCTGTGCAGATGACCCGTCGCTGCTTTGGTCCGACGACCCCGATGGCCGCGTGACCTTTCCACCGCCGCCGCCGCCGCCGCTGCGCCGGTGAGGCCCGTTTTCTCCAGCGGCGCCGCCGCCATCAGACCACAGGTACTGCGGGGACGGGGTCGCCGACGAGTACGACCCCGGGTCGTCGCAAAACTGCGACTCCAGCTCCAGGATACGGGCGTGCGTTTCCGGCAAATCCACCAACGCCTATGAAATTAATATAGGAGAAATAAGACACAGAATAATAATCATCATTATTATTATTTTTTTAACACGTTTTTATTAACTCGCTTTCTTGTCCGTTTGTTTGTCCGGATCAAATTTTGCAACTCAAATTTCGCTCACTTCCTGACTAGCTAGCAAGCTGAAACTTTCAGGATAGCTTAGAAACTGATGACAATGCAATCTTTTGTGAAAAGAAAAATTGTAAGAATATTTTTTAAAAAGAATAAAATAATTATAGTAGATTAAAAAATTAATCTAAAAAACCATGTTTTTCAAGTAAGACTAAAAAGCACAAAAAAATTTAGTAGATTAAAAAATTAATCTAAAAAACCACGTTTTCAAAAAGCAAAAAATAACCTTAAACGTGGTGCGCATGGAGATTGTTGGGAAGAAGTGAAATACAAATGAAATAGATGCGCACCACGTTTAAGGTTATTTTTTCCTTTTTCAAAACGTGGTTTTTTAGATTAATTTTTTAATCTACTAAATTTTTTTGTGCTTTTTAGTCTTACTTGAAAAACATGGTTTTTTAGATTAATTTTTTAATCTACTATAATTATTTATCTCACAAAGATGTACTTGAAACGAAAAAAAATTGTTGATTTCTATCAATAAGAAGCTTAGATTTCAAAACACAGTGCGAAAATACAGTAAAATCTCGTTATCCAATATTAACTAAGCTCGTCGTCATAATAACCTAAGGAGAATCTCTTTTTTTTGCCTCGAAAGTTCTTCAATGATCCTAACCTTGAATAAGAACATGGCAACTTTTCTTTGAAAGCTGATTATCTCAGACATATGAAGGTGCGTAATTTCCATGGGAAACAATGAAATATAGAAAATTTTGGGCAAAAAAAAAAACTCATTTTAAACACAGTACTTTATTCCTTGAAATGCAGAGGCCAATAATTTCCTGCTAACTTTTAGCTGACTTTGGTTTTTCACATTTTCTTTCACATTCAATTTTACTTTTTTTTTAGCATTTGAGGAGCCTTTATAAGCTGTACCTTTCAATTCAACATCCTGAAATTTGACCGTCCTGCAATTTAATGGTCAAATTTGCAGGGAGGTTGACTTGCAATTCTACCTCTGCCCTGGAATTTTACCTGCTTTGGCCAATTTTTTCAAATTTTTGTGCTGATATTTCTCAATTTTAGAAAGTGTCCTGCAATTTGACGGCTTTGCAATTTGACCCTAGCCCAACAATAAGGGATAAGGGTTGAATTGCAAGGTACCAACTGTACATTTATAGGGCTCCAGTATATTCATTGGCCAGAGCTACAGTTGATTTCAAATTATTTAATGGAGTATCTTAGACTTTGTCCTGTAATATCAAGCAAAGAAGAATAATGTGCTAAAAAATTTTATTGTGGCATGTTAGTAGACATTAATCTGCAACATACAGACAAATAATTAATGCCAATTTTTTTGTGAACCTTGGTTTTTCATCTTCATGTCCTGAAATTTCCAGGAAAGATATCTTCACTTCCTCTGCCCTCAATAATTGAATAATAAGTGCCTTTATTCAACAGTAATGCGCCAAATTACAGACATCATTGGTGCTTAGATCTTGTTCCTATGTTATGGAACATCCATATGTTGAATCACGTTTTCCTATAGAATTCCATAGGAACATACAGTATTTGATTGGTTCTCCTATTCATCAAAATCAGGGATGAACCTACCAACATTTTGAAAAACATTTCTTTTTTCAACTTCAAGATACAGAAAAATAACTGTGCAGAAGAAAACTTCACAGAATCTGATCTTTTGACATCAAAAGAAGCTCAAGAAGCAAAAACAAGAACAAATTCTAGCTACACTAGCTGTGCACACATTATTCAAAAACACTTTTTTTAAAGCATGGAATTAGCTTTTTGATTATGAATCAAAGTAATTTGTATAATGAAATTTTTAAAATTTTGGTATAGAATTCAATTGAACAGCAAGTTTTATTTACTGCTTTTCAGCATTTGCAAGGTTCAAGCAACCTTCCCACATTCTCTCCCCACCCACATTCATCCAAACACATTCCATCACATCAGAATGGAAAATGGAGAAATAAGCATCCCAAAATGTAAAATTACACAATAACTGATGTAAATGCATAAACTTTCTTCCCTTCCCTGATTAACAAAACCAAGATGTCAATAATACTAATTGCACCATCAGGCAATTACTGAATTTTTGTAAATACAAATACTGCAGCTGAAATTGTTCAAAAGATCCAAAATTCAGAAAAAAATTGAAAATGCTTTAATTTTCCCAGAAATAATGCAAAAGTGTCCCAATTTCGATACATTGTCCGGATGTGGGGCAGATTTTTTTTTTCTTGAGTTCCACATGTCCCTAAGTCCAATCGTCCCAAGTTTGGGGTCTCATCACTATGTATTGATCCCAAACATTATCTAATTTAATTTTTTTTTATTATACGGAACACGTCAGACCCCCAGTTATTTTTATAACATCCTGGATCAAAACCCAGTCCAAGCAACTTGATCACTGCACCCAAGGCCAAGGCAATTATTCCATCAGCCTGTTCTTGAAGCAATAAAGAAATAAGAGGAAGGACAAAAAAAAGAGCAGGTTGTTCAACCAGGTTCCCTATATACAATCTCAGCTTCCATCATCATCATCAGAAAGACCAAAAAAAAAAAAAAAAAACTTCCAAAAAAAAGGTACTGCCGGAAAATTCGAGCCAGGTTTTTTTTTTCTTTTTCAAGTACCAGTCCAGGATGTAGAGGATTGGAAGATAAGAACAGATTAACCTTGTGCTTGTCCTCCTTTATTGATTCCGATCTCATATCATCCATCAGCAGGACAATTTCTTTTTTTGTTTTGTTTTTTTAAACAAACACACACCATAATTTTTATTTATCAGACCAGTATTTTGGTTTCCATCACAGAGTTTCCTTGACGAATTGCATCTTTTTTTTTTCTTCCCACCTCGTTCCAACCGGTTCAAAGTTCATGACTATATACAGCAACACCTCGTTTGTAAACCCCTTCATTTAGGGGCGCACTTCTATGAACAAGGACGAAAACTAATTTTAGAAAATGTTTTCGTGGAATTTATGGTCGCTCGCAAGGTTTTCGTAATAAACTGGAATACAGTACATTGGAACACATAAAAATTGGTAAAGTTTACATGTATGGCATTCAGCTACAAAAAGTGAATTTTCTCCAACACTTTTCTACAAAGTGGTCTTTTTTAATCAAACCTAAATCCAAATTCAATTCAATTCAATCAACAACAAAAACCGTGGGAATTTAATAAACACTTGGGGAAGATTGTGGGACAAAATGGAGATTTTCAAAAATAAAATACTCACATAACCATCACTGATATATAAAAGTCTGAAATCATAATAAATTATAACCCGTACCTTTCGTCATTTTCAGTTTTCATGAAATTCAATGAAACCTGTTACAGCGCAAAAATCAAAATAATGTGAAGCTGAATCCTCGAATTTAAAACTATTTTCAAAAACGGGTGAAAATAAAGTTCAGAGTTTGCTTGCGAAAAATATTGAATTAACGTATCAGAAAATAAACCTGATCTAATTTCATTTACAATCCAAATTTTTGGAAAATAAACTTATCCAAAAATGCACGTGACCCAAAAATTCCAATAAAATCCCAACTTGACTGAAAATTTTGAACAATCACAACTTGACCTACAATCAGGTGGCAATTCAAGCTGAATAAAAGATTTTTAACAATAAAATTGGTCAAAAAAATACGAACTAAACGCAGGTTGAATGCCACTTTCAAAAAAAATAAAATAAACCTAGTCCAAAACTCCAGTCGAATGAAATTTACAAACAATAAACTTGACCTTAAAAAAACCGAATAAAATTCACATTTCATGAAAATTTCCAACCAACGACCTTGACCTGAAAATCCGAAAGAAAATTCAAGTTTGAATGACACTTAAAAAAAAAAAACTTGACCCAAAAATCCCATCGACATTCGAGTGAAATGACAGTTTTCAAGAAAAGAAAATAAAAAAATAAACTTGACCCATAAAACTCCAATCGAAATCCCAGCAGCAGTCTCATAAAAATTTCAACAAATAAATCCCGAACCCAACACAATCTGATGGAGTGAGTCGACAGAATTCCCCCGCGGATTCAGAATTTTAAAAAATTAATAAAAATGAATTCCTACACAAAATCAACAGTCGGCACACGAAAATATTACCGAGGAAACAGCAATAGCTCATATATCTTGTCTCATCAAAAAAAAAACAAACTCGGAAGTGGGATAATTTCCCCCGAAATTATTTGACCTAACCTCGCAATTCTCCACACACACACAAAATAAAATAAAAAAATAAACACACACGAAATGAAGGAGGAATGAGGAAAGAGAAATGTTAGCCCAGATGAAAGAAGATGACTCCCTTCATTACACTTTCACTGAGACTATAGGAAAGCGCAACAGCAGCAGAAGGTGGATTTATGCAAAAATGAGCCCTAGGGCATTTCCTCGTTGAGTAACTCATTAAAGTGCCTCACTTCGCTTATAGTTTCTTTTTTCTTTCTTCTTTTTTTTAAATTATTATTAGAGAGAAGGAGAGAAATCGTCTCATTATACTCATTCGTTTTCTCGCGCCTTCTTATTCGAGGGAAACATTTTAGCTAAAATCCTTCGCAATTGTTTCGTCACGGGTTGCGGACGGAATTTTTAGCTCATTTAGAAAAAAGAAAATCCATTGGGTTCCCACATAACGAAACTGATTTTTTCGTTGTGCGGAATTTTCATGATGCGAAACGCGATTTCTCTTGATAGGGTTGCATTGTAAATACAGTTCAACAAGACCCCGACATACGGACGATTCGACTGGGGGTAACTTTGAATGTAGAAAATCTAGACCCAACATCCGGACAAAATCTCGGCTCATGGACACTTTTTTCCAAAATTTCTGGGAAAATGTAAAATTTTTATTTTTCACAATTTCGATATCTCCTAAAGAATTTGACCTACATTCATATTCACACAAGTCAAAATGAATCTTACATTAAAAATGTACTCAAATTAAAAAATAAAAATGGTTAATTTTGTAATTTTTTTCATTAATCTTTATCATCTGTGCACAGCAGAGCAAGATTTGTAATTTTACTTTGCTTTTTAAAGCCCTTCTGATGCCAGAAGATCTGATTCTGTGGGATTTTCTTTCACACAGTTACATTTTGTATCTTTTAGTTGAAAAACACATTTCATTAGATTTTTGGGAGATTTATTTCCAATTTTTCATGAACTGGAGAACCAAGTAAAGGAGTCACCATTGAAGTCTATGCTGGGAAAACAAGATTTGACATGCGGACATTTTGACATAGGGACAATAAGGTCCCAGGAACAATTACGTCCACATCTTGGGGTCTCACTAATAATCTACTTTCTTCCATACAATCACCAAAAAGTAATCATAAATTGTTTAAACTTTTTTATTTTTACAGAAAATTGTGCATTTAAAATTTATCAACATTGAATTGAATAAATACTGAAGAAGGCTGTGTTCTGACATTTCTAAATTTCACAAATTGTAAAGTCAAGAAGGGTTATTGGACAACTTGCAAAGCAACAACTCACACAGTTTTTCTTTTTCCTACTAAACTTTTGCTGTTATAATTCTTATAAATGTAGGTTCAGGAAAATATGCATAATTTCTTGTGTCTTTATCCTCCTTGTGTCTTTTGTCCTCAATTTTTTTCAAATAATTGTGTTTTCAATCTAGTGAAGGATAATTGTGATGCATGCATTAATCCAAGTTCTGCCCAGGAATTGAGCCCCCATTCAATTTTATGGCTCACAGAATCTGCAATTTTCCCACCCAGTTATTGATGCAGATATCATTTGATTGGACAATTTATTTCCAATGGTTTCAGGGAGGCTCTTTATAAGAATGATTGACTGTGAAATGAAATTTGAAAATTATTTATAAGCCAGATTTATGAGTCAAGCGGTGAAAGAATGTTTGTGTGATGTTCAGCATATGGACAACAAAATCCAACAGATTTTATTTCAACATGCTGAAATTCTATACCTGGTATTTTTTATTTTTTTTATTTCTGCCTGAAGTTTATTTGAATGGGTGAGCTAATCCCTGAGCAGGGAAATCAGGAAGCATTTCCTTTCTAATCAGATGAAAGTGGCACCCAAGGTATTCACTTTTCAATCCATCTAATCTTCAAAATCCAAGGACTTTCACCTTCTCTGAATGCCATTCCATTGATTTAAAAGACTATCATCTCAACACTTAACAACATCCCTTCATCAGTTATCCTCAGGGACATTCATCATTCAAATACAGTGAGACCCCCACATGCGGACACCTCGACATGGGGACATTTATTTTTCAATAAAAAGGGCATAAAAAAGGCCCAACATAGGAACACTGACTCAACATGCGGACATTGCATGATAAAATTGCCAATAAATTTTAGGAAAATTGGCTTTCATTCAGCTTGATTGCAAGAAACAGTTACTTCCAGCCCTAATATCTATGTAAGAAAAATTCTGTGGTACTTTTCCCATCACTTCCCCATCCATTCAGCTTATTTAAAAAAATTACTTGTAGCACAGAGAGACTTCCTTCTCTTTTTGTGACATGGGTGTTATTTCTACAGATGCCAACATTTCAATGAACCGTACAGTGGTATACTATTCAATGCTCCAAATGTTCTTATTGGGTTGAAAAGATATTCACTGAATCAAATTCAAGTGGCAAACAAAATTGTTTTTCATGGAATTCTGAAGAATCTTTCTTCCACAGACACCAATTAAAAATTATATAATGTGAGGCTATGGGAAAACAAGACTTGACTTAGGGACAATTCAACTTAGGGACACTCTTGATGCATCTTGACTTAGGGACAATTCAACTTAGGGACGCTCTTGATGCACCAATTATGTCCGCATCTGGGGGTCTCACTGTAAATTCATCAGAATAAAATTTCCATTTTTTACCTGTGTGAAGATCTGCAGTGTGAATGCTGTTATTTCAGATGCACTTTTCATTTTTGAATACATCATTTTTTCTTCATAAAACTTTTCCAATTTAATTTCACAATCAATCATTTTTTAAGAAACCCTTTCAAATATTGAGCAGATTCCTGGGCAGAACATGGATTAATGCGGGCATCAGAATTATCCTTGAGTAGATAGAAAACACACTTATTGAAAAAAAATTGAGTATGAAGAGAATCATGTTCCTCCATGAGAGAATTCCCATGGACACATTTATCTTGGCATTTTTATGTTCTCATCCCCCATTCTGTAAATTTAGGAAATGAAAAATGCATACAATTAATATAGGACAAAAGAGAATCAATAGACACAAGAAAATATGCATATTTGCCTGAACCTAAATTCAAAACAGTAAAATTTTAGAATAGGAAAAATAAAAATTGTGCGAGTTGTCGGGCAATCGGCAAAGTGGCATAATCATACCCTTTTCTGCTACATTTTTTCAATTTGAAATTGGAGCCTTTCTGGGTCATAACATTTTATTAAATGAAACAATTTCGTATAGCGTGAGTCAGAAGTTCCTCCATTAAAATTTTCGTTATGCTAATTTTTTGTACGGGTCTTTCGTTTATATGCTGGGGCTCAATAATAATTCCGTCTTTCGTTATGCTCTAGAATAGAGTCTTGAACTTTCGGAGGGAAATTCGCCGATTCCAATGCCTTATTTTCTTCTTCTCCTTTCTGCGCAAATGAAAAAATAATAATAACAGCAGGACGGAAGACGAAAGTCCCGTTTTTGCTGAATGCAATTTCAGAAAAAATTGCATTTCATTATAGAGCACCTTTCGAAATGACTTCCGATGACAGGCGTAACGTTGACCCAGAAATTAAAACATTCAATGTCGATATTTTCAAGGGACAAGGGTTTGTTCATTCATGTTTCGCTCGTCTTGTACTTTCTACTTAAAATGGGACGCAGTTTTTTAGGAAGCAATAGTTATTTTTATTTTAATTATTGTCTATGGTTAACATTTTTGTTCGCCAAGTTTGGAATTTCAGAAATAATGTATCAAAGTTCAAACTTGTAATCGCCCATTTTGCGCAAATCGACAGACAGTCAATAAAGAGCCCACCAAATATTTTGAATCATCACAAATACTTTTATCGACCATAAATGTCACACAGATTCAACACAAAATTCCAACAGAAAATAATACTGTACTGATTTTGTCAACATGGTTGTTAGTGATGCTGAATATGAAGATTTCCCTGAATTTTACATATAAAACAAAAAATTCTTCACAATAAAATCTACATTCACTGAAAAGAAAAATATCCAGCAAAATTTCTTCCTACATTTATAGAAAATAATACTGTACTGATTTTGTCAACGTGGGTGTTAGTGATGCTGAATATGAAGAGTTCTCTGAATTTTACATATAAAACAAAAAAATTATCCGCAATAAAATCTGCATTTTCTGACAAGAAAAATATCCAGTAAAATTTCTTCCTACATGTCTTGTCATCAATCGCATAGAATTTTTGAAGATTATGAATATCACATTCGACTTCTTGAAACTCCAAGAAATTCACACACATAATTTAATAAAAACAAAACTTTTGAACCACCCCTTCCTTCGCTCATGAAGGCTAACAAATAAATACATAACTGTGATTTTTCAATTAAAATAAAACCCGCGAAATTCCGCACTTCAAAGAAGCGATAAATGTTTCCAGTCCGTGAACAAAATCGCAATTAATTCCCGTTTTTCAGAAGAAGAAAAAAAAATGACACACCCGAGATTGGGAGGGAAGAAAAGAGGTGAAAAAGCCCCCGTTCAAATCTGATATGCTTCCACGTCAATTTTTTTTATTTTTGTTGGAAACATCAAAAATAAATATGCATGAAAAAATGTTTCTGAATTCGTGAAAAAGGTCATGCTGCGAAAAAAAAAAAAATTGGATGCAGAGGGTTAACCCGGAAAGGTCATCGGACTTTTTCTGGCTTCAAGAAGTTTTGAAAGATGTCAGACCTTTTCTCGAGACAAAAAGCTCCCAGCGAGACTTTCGTGCGTAAGAAAAAAATAAAGGAAGAAAAAGGCATCGTGTGGCTTTCGTCCAAGTTGACACTAGCCAATACACACACACACATATATATACAATATATATTTTTTTTCTAGAGAAATAATTGAAAGCATTCCTTTGAAGCCATCTGGCCTGTCCAAAGCTAAGGAATCAATTATTCGTCGCCATCTGGAGCGAAGAAAATCCAATTCCCCCAAAAGACAATAGAAAGGTCAAGGAGCAATTCTCCTATTTAATTATATTACAGTATTTCTCCTTCACAATTTTTTTTTCTATTGAGAAAACTGGGAATAAAGTAGGTTACAGTATTTAAATACAATACAGTTGAACCTCGATAACTCAAAGCTCTCCCATTTTGAATAAAGTCTTGGTCGATTTTTCTTCAAGTTTCTCTTTGAATTACATAATAAATAATTTACTAAAACTCTGTCTTCCTTGAAGGCTTACCCACCTCAAAAACCTCTAAAACTCAAAATTTTCAAAATGAATTTCGGCTGTTATTATTGCATCCCCGCCGGAAAGAGAAAAGCAGTAAAAATGTGACTTGATGCTTTTTGCAAGCAAGTGAAAGAGCATATTTTGTAAACTTTCAAAGGTCACTTATTAGAACTTCTTTTCATTCCTTTTTTCAATGCAAAATTTTCTAGTTCCTCATAACTCGAAGCCTTTGTGAGTCGATTTTTAATTCTGGCCTCTTGAAATTCGACTCAGAGATGTTCAACTATAAATCTGGTCTAATTATTTAATTAATTGATTATAAATAAACCTCCAGTGATTTTTACTTTCTATTACAGTAGAGATCGTCGTCTCACGGCATTTAATTTTTTCTATATACTGTAAGTGAGACCCCCACATGCGGACACCTCAACCTGCAAACTTCCACATAGGGAAACTTGTTTTTTCATAAAAAATTAGTAAAAAAAAGGCCCAACGTGAGGATACTGACTCAACATAGGGACATTTTGTGATAAAATTGCAAATACATTTCAGGCAAAATTACAAGAAACAGATATTTCCAACCCTTCATGGAATTATGGTGAGTATTTTGTCCATAAAACACCAATTAAAAATTATATAATGTAGATCTAAGGGAAAATGAGACTCGACTTAGGGACATTTCGATTTAGGGCCACTCTTGATGCACCAACTACGTCCGCATCTCGGGGTCTCACTTGTACTCTCTTTTTCGCAACAAAAAAAACGAAGGACAGGAATCTAAAATAAATGAATATGAAGAACAGAGAATATTTTTTTTTTTAATAGAGAGAGAAATGTCTAACCTGCAGCTGTTCAGCGAGATACGCAGCAGTGTCGGCACAATCGCATCTAAACGCGTGCACGTACAAAACGCCGCCAGCTCGGGACGCCACTCCTCCATTTCCACCACCACCACCACTTCCGCCTCCGCCACTGCTTCCATTACCACCAGCAGCACTGCCGCTCCCAGTACCGCCGCCTCCTCCTCCTCCTCCTGCACTATGCACAAGCAGCACACACGCAACCACATCGTCGTCCGGCGCCACTTGTTGGGCCACATACGTGACGGCGTGTCGCGGCACAAAGTGTTTGATGGTCTCCGCACTGGACGCCCCGACTCGACGAGGCGCCACTTGGATCATCTTGAGGCCCTTGTCCGACACCTGGAGTGTCACCTTGAGCGGCTCCAGGTCCCGCTCTTGGGCCAGTAGGGCCACCAGTGCCGGCGCCACGACGCCACTGCCTCGGACGCCTAAAAAAAAAAATAAAAAAAGAGGACAAACGATGTTTTTTCTTATTCTTTTCTTTCAAAGTTGTAACTTGAGCGGATTTTTTTTCAACATAGGCAAAGAATTGTTTCCAATGAGGAAATTTAGGTCACTAAAAACGCAAATTCTTTTCAAATACTGTATTACCACATTTACTCAAGTACCACGCACCCTCAAGTAAGACGCGCACAGGGGTTTTTCAGTTGGAAATTTTGCTAAAATCTTATCCCCAAGTAAGACGCGCGCCCCTATTTTAAGTGAATCTGAAACCACAACATTTTGATAAAAAATTGACTTTAGACATGAATTGAACAAACATCTGATCAATTTTCAACTGTTTCAGTACAAAAAAGTTTTCTTTTTACATTTGTTCCAAATTTCTCCATTATAAGTAAGTATAATGCACACATAACTTCCTAAAACTTCTTGGAAAATTTGTACCCGCTTATGACACGCACCCTTTTTTTTTTCTTCTGAAATTTGAGAAAAAAGGTGCGCGTGGTACTTGAGTAAATACGGTATTTAATATTGGAAAACCCGCATTCTTCAACAATTGAAAATGAGAACTTTAAAATAATCAGGGTAAGCGTGATAAATTGTATCCTATTTTTTAGAAGCTATCGATTTGCATGTAAAGTTTCTTAATTTTTCTCCACCCCCGCCCCCTCCATCTTTCCAAAACCAAGATTAAATTTTTGAAAGAGGGCATCTTGAGGTGAATTGTGAAGAATTTTTGTTCTTGATTCCACCCTATGTGTCCCAAGAAAAAGCCAAAGTCACGTTTTGAATGGGAAATTTGAGACTGTGTCTGTCTTCATTGCGGATTTTTCATTAGGAAATCACAACATGTTCCTCGAAAAAGTGTGTATATTTCTTTTAAATTTTATTTATTTATTTAATTTTTCATTTTTATTTTATTAATTTAAGTAGCTCAAACTATTTCCTATGAAGTAATTTTAGCTTTATTTTTTTTAATTTATGTATTTATTTCTTATGAGTATAGATTTTACAGATTTTGCATTTATCAGAATACTGGAATTGGCAAGTTTTTTGTAACAAGATTCTTATGACATATACCCTATAGAATTTCTGCCAGGACTTTGAAAAAAGTTTCTAATGCTGAAAATTTTGTTATCGCAGAGGAATTTTTATGTAACAAGATTTTACTTTGCAAAAACGAATCAAAAGACTGGCAGCATATTATGAACAGCCCATCTTTGACAGGTTTATAAATTCATAATGAAGCTTTTGGGACTGGGAAAACAGCGTTCTCTTAAAAGATAAATTAGTTATATCGTTATTTGAATATCGTTATTGTTATTGCGGAAGAAACCTTGAGAAATGACTTCGTTGTACCCAAAGATTCGTTAAAACGAGATTCTTTCCAATCGACATTCCATATGTCACTAGTACAAGAGGGGATTCGCGTATCCGTTTCTATTTTTTCTCGTCTTTCGACAATGGTATTGGGCACAAATGGGCCACAATATAACTTGATGTCAAGTGTTTGGAACGAACGGAAATAAAACGAATAAATCAGTCCGGGACTGGACCGGGATTCCTTATTGGAATTCCTACTTTAATGGGAATTGTATTTCGGATAAATGGATAAGTCAACGACTTCACGAGCTCGGGCTTGTAAC